CATTCAGAAGCAGAAAGTTAAGAGTCATCCAAGTTTTTATGTCTTCAAGACATGCCTGTAATCTATGTAATGGGTTAGCTTCATCTGGATTTATAGACAGATATAGCTGGGTATCATCAGCATAACAGTGGAAATTAATCCCATGCTGTCTAATAACTCTACCAATTGGGAGCATGTATAAAGTAAAGAGAATTGGTCCTAGCACTGATCCCTGTGGTACTCCACAGGTAACCTGTGAGCATGTGGAAGATTTGTCATTAACATGAACAAACTGAATTCGATCAGATAGATAAGTTTTAAACCAGTCTAGTGCTGTTCCTTTAATTCCAACAAAATATTCAAGTCTTTCTAAAAGAATATTATGGTCAACTGTATCAAATGCAGCACTAAGATCTAACAGGACGAGCACAGATACAAGTCCATTATCTGAGGCCATGAGAATATCATTAGTGACTTTCACCAGAGCTGTTTCAGTGCTATAATGAGCTCTAAAGCCAGACTGAAACTCTTCAAAAAGTTCATTATGGTGTAAGTGATCGCAAACTTGTTTGGCAACTACTTTCTCAAGAATTTTGGATAAGAAAGGAAGATTGGATATAGGTCTATAATTAACCAAGTCATCTGGGTCAAGGGACGGTTTCTTAAGCAGAGGTTTAATTACAGCAACCTTAAAAGCTTTAGGTACATATCCCTGTAACAGAGATAGATTAATCACATCTAAAATGGAGGAGGAGATCAAAGGGAATACCTCCTTAAATAACCTGGTTGGAACTGGATCTAACATACAAGTTGAAGGCTTAGATGAAGACAATAATTTTGCTAATTCAGAAAGTTCAACTGGATCAAAGCAGTCTAAACCCGGTTCAGATTCCATGACTACCTCAGGTACAATCGCGGATAGAGGAGTGCTTATGATCTTAATTTTAATAAGATCAATCTTATTTATAAAGAATCCCATAAAATCATTGCTGCTAAGAGCAGGTGGAATGGACGGTTCAACAGAGCTATGGCTCTGGGTGAGTTTGGCAACTGTATTAAAAAGAAATCTAGGATTATTCTTATTCTCCTCTATTAATGAGGAGAAGTATGCTGCTCTTGCTTTACAAAGGGTCCTCTTATACAGCAGTAAACCATTTTTCCAGACTTGGAAGGACTCCCGCAGGCCTGTGGAGCGATATTTTCTCTCCAGTTTCCTAGCATTTTGCTTCAAAGTACGCAGCTCTGCATTAAACCAAGGAGCAAGCTTTCTATTTTTAACGGTTTTCATTTTCAAAGGAGCTGCGTTGTCTAAGGCAGTACGCAGAGAACTAGCAACCCCATCAACAAAATCATCAACGTGTGAATGATGAGCACTTCTTCTTGATAGACTGTGACAAGGACACTGCAGGACACCCAGGCTCTGTTACTTTTCCAAGAATTTGGCTAAAGAGCAACTTGTCATGATGTTACAAAGTTCAGACCCAAATTACAGAAAACCGAACAGAGAGACCACGGGAAAGGTTTAACGGGTTTTATTGAAGTTAAACAGAGGGAGAAGTGTTGCTCTGAACACTGCTCAACCGGAACTGTAAAGTGAGGGGAAGACACAGCGGTTAGTTCAGGCTCAGTGGGGAATTTGACTCGTGAACTTGGAGAAGAGGATTTGGTTGCTGACTCACGTTTCCAGAGAAGTTGTTGAATCCTTGACTCCTGTCTGTTGGCCGTGGTTCCCGTGTTTGTCTGATTCGGTGGAAGGCGGAACAGAGTTTGATAGTTGGTGAACAGAGAAGCTGACTGCCACTCAGATTTCCTGCGGTACTTGAACGGGTCGTAGTGGAGAATTATTCCTTTCTCAGTGAGAGGCTCAAACGATCTCTTGGGGAAAGTGGATCCAAACCTCCTGTTTGAACCCCAGCTCAGTTTGAAGCTCAGTTGATCCTTCCAGGGAGTGAAGGTCCGAGAAATCCAGTTTGCAGGATGAATTCCTGCCGAGAAGCAAAGACAAAAACAAAGTTAAACTCAGGTTGACAAAAGCTCAGCTTGACTCAGCAACAACTCAGCTTGACTAGAGTACCCTAAACTGGCAAACACTCTGGCGTCGAAGTAGTGGCAGTCAGCAGCTTAAGAACACTCCGTTTAACGAGGAAACCATCAGCAGGTGTTTGAGGAGGCGGACCAGAACCAGGCGCATCCTGGTGGATGAAGGGAGACAAACACAGAAGCACAAACACAAAAACAGGAGTCCTGACACAACTAAACTGCAGGACTTTGTACTTCAGGAGAATATAGTAACTGATGTTTGACAGTTGAAAAAATATATATTATAATAAGTTTCACCATAAGGAGAAAACAATAATACAATAAAAGGAAATAAAATATGAACTTAAGGTACCAGTAAAGCCAATATCATACTCATAAAATAATTCGTCCATATGGAGTACTGGAAAACATACTCAGAGCTTGTGCCAACCAACTGTCCTACATGTTCAATAGGATTTTCAACCCTTCCATGACCCGAGCAGTGAACCGCACCTGCCTGAAGTGTGCTTCAATCATCCCAATTCAAAAATATCCAGGATTAATGATTACTGCCCTGTTGCACTCACTTAATATAATCATAAAGTTCTAAGGGACTGATTCTCCAGCACATCATTGATTACTTTGGTTTTGAATTGAAAAGTAAATCCACCATTTTGATTTGCTTAATTTGACGCCCTCATACAAAACAATATAATATAACAGGGGATGGGGAGGGGGTCACTGATGAGCATAGCAGGATCTGTATCCTGGTACAGAAAAGCATCAGAGCTCAAAATGCAGCTTACTGTAGTGTGAGCCGCCAGAAATGACAGACTCCTGGATCTGTGTTAAAATGTTTACAGAAAAAAAACAGCAAAAGTCTGATTGCCTCCAATTTAAACGTGCCTTGTAGTTGTCTATGGTTAACTGACAACCAGTAATTTTTGACTTCATGGAAATGTTCTGATAATGTGTGGCTCCATAGAATTTCACTAAAATTAGGTTTTATATATTTAAATCTAATTAATGTGTCTGTGTGTTCTTTGTTTTCTTCTTTCGTCTTTGAGAGAAAAGTAAATTGTCTTTTAGTGGTTTTCTCCAGAAATGAGTATGAGAGCATTTCTTTGGAAAAGCATCAGGACATAGACTGTTTGCAATGATACAGGCAAATGTGGTCTAATTGATGATAACTTTTTAATGCATCTAATTTTTTTCGAGATTTTTTTTCTTTTTTTTTACATGTAATATTTCAGAAAATGTTTATTACTGCTCCCCTAAAATGAAATATATTTAAATCCAAAGAGTCTATTTCCAGTTCAGCAGAAGAGGAAGCAGGAGGAGGCTCCAGATCCACGTGCTCAACTTCAGATCCAAACTCAGCAGCTCTCTCAGTCGTTGCCGTTGACAACGCGTGCTGCTGGCAGAGTTAGGTGGAGCAGGAATGCCAAGCTGCCAAGATCTCCCTGCGGGACAAGGCCTGACCGCCTGGTCCTGCTACTTGGCTGTGTTCAGCAAACCCTGCTGGCCTGAATCGTCATGCCGCAAGCAGCAGAGCCTATTAAACACTTTAATTCACGTGGCTGTCACTTGACCATTTTCATTAGAGAGCATCAATTTTACAAAAAAACAAAGCAGAGCTTACATAAAAGGTTACACCTATTAGTTAACTTCATTTTTTATCTGTATTACTTATGTACAAAATCAAAGCTTTTAAGAGTCACTTAAATTAAACTTACAAAAAATTCTTTGAAAAACATTTTGTTTTCATTGCTATACACCAATCCAGATTTTACATTAGTGAGCAGTCATTTTTTTGTATCACGAATTTTAAAAACAGAAATTTGGAACACATTGCCACAGCTGTAAAGGTTGCACCTGTTGTTGTATCTAAATGAATGTTAAAGCTTACCTGGAACCCAATCGGACCCTTTTCAGCTATAGAAGATGTACAGTATAGGAAAGGGTTTGAGGCTAATACCAAAAAGATTCAAACACAATGTAGGCCAAAAATAAGCCTTTTTTTCAGTTTTGCTAGACTGTAAATCAAACTTAGCTCTCATTGACTTTTTGTTTATAGGATTTCCATTGTTGCCTACTCAAGTTTCATATATCTCTATGTCCAGCAAGGACAAATGATAAAATATGCACATATGGACTACAATAGGGATATTTACTGACATTAGAAATGTAGCTTTGGGCTCTCAATCCCAGTGGAAGATATAAGCATAGAGAACCACAATGTTATGCTTGAGCAGCTGATGGTTGAGATGGGGTGGAGGGGGTTAGAGCTTAAAAAAGCAATCAGAGCCAAGAAAGAATAGTTTCTGAAAAGCAAGGTCCTTGGGAATGCTCTGCCACGACAGAGGTGTGGCACAGGTGCTGATGCAGCAGCAGAGAATCAGATGATAATTATATGAAAGGTCACTACTGGCAAAAAACTTATGAACAATGTTTTCAAAGCCTACGAATATTTATAATCTATAATGTATGTCTGCTTAAAAATTCTGGAAAGACAGTGTTTGATATATTAAAAGAGAACAGTTAAAATATTTTAATTTAATAATTAACATTTTTGTTACAATGTTTAGGCTAAATAAACATTTATATTTAATGCCTGCTTAAGTTTGACATGAGGTTAGATACATCTAGTAATATTTTCTGCTTTTGTACAAAAAAATCCTCAGATTCTGTATCCTCTATATTTGCTCTGTTTTGTTCCCATCCAACCTACTTCAAGCATTATCATCAACAGACCTGTTCATTCACCATCAAATTACGGAATAACTCCATTTTGTTCCGTATGACTCCAGCTTGACCTCTGTCACATGCTCTCTTCGAGCTCCAGGGGACTTCAACCAGGGCTCCACTTAGTTACCGCCGATAGATTGGCTTTTCTTTGACTCAGAGAGGCGGTTTGGAACAGAGGATCTGTAATCATAGAGGAAATGATGTAACTGTATAATAAAATGGTGGTCATAGTTTTTTTCCCACTCTGCTTTCAGATCCTAAGGTGAACTGGTACCCTGATGTCTATGCTGCTGCTGAAACTTGGAATCCAATGGGGAACAAAATGTATGCGTTTAAAATCAACTTCCTCACCCTCGCCCTTCTCCTACTTTTGCCTTCGGTAAGTCCTGACATATATTTAATAATCTTAGGAACATCTAGATCTAACTTGCATTATGGTGTTAAAGTGTAAGTGGAGATGTTTGCAATTACTAGAGTAGTGAGGTCTACTGTAAACAAAGTCTTAAGTTCATTCATAGCAAAATAATAGAGATCAGTGTTTCACTGCATGAAAAGTGGGATTTTCGTCAATATACGGCACTGTAGATTGTCGTGGAACTTCAGGTTAGCGGCAGTTTACGGCAATTTGCAGGCCTTGCTGTAAACTCCCGTAAATTGTCAGAAATTGACGTGGAATTTCTTAGGCAGTGTTCCCCCCATGCCTCCCCCCCATGGAATTCTAGGGGAGGCTTTAACATGTAAATGAACATGCTGTGAGATATACAAATGCAAACCAGGGTTGCAGGGGGGGTTTTACCCCCCCTGCAACCCTGGGTAAGAAAATCTCTGATACAAAGAGATCAGGTATAGCCTCTTACATTTTAGCTTGAATTGATTTATTTAATTAAAGTATAGAGATCAAAACAGATCTTTAGCTGACAGAGCAATACATTTAGAGCAGTAATTATTTTTTTTTAAATTTGCATTTAAGATAAAAAATAAAATGTTGTCTGTCAATATGCTCAATTCACAATTACTTAAGTGGAAAAGTTTCAAGAAATGATTCTGAGATGATTCACTTTATAACATGGCGCATTATCCTGTTGGAAGTAGCCATCAGAAGATTGGTACACTGTGGTCATAAGGTCATAGGTCAGCATGCTAAATTGGTTTTAAGTGGCCCAAAGTGTGGCAATAAATATCCTCCAAATAGATGGTAGAAATAGATCAGGCCCAGTATAGCCTAATTATAGACTCTTACATTTTAGCTTGAATTGATTTATTTAATTAAAGTACGCTAGATTACTGTGTATGCAAATGTTATGTAAAAGAAAATACACAAAATAATTTACTTCAAAAATTAGTTTTAATCAGAATCGGTTGGCTGTAATGGTTAATTTTTTTTTTTAGATTTCCACTTTTTTTTTTTTTTTATTGAATATATAAGAAAACAATAACAATCTCAAACAACAAGTCAATAACAAATATTTCAATACAAGAAGAAATATCACAACTCCTGCTTTTGAAAAATAAAATTAAATGCACAGGCTGGAACAAAGTATAAAATAAAATAAATAAAAATAAATAAAATAATAATAGTAGTTAAAGTAAATTAATCAGTGGGGACTACCAACTGAAATTCTTCAATTAACTCAAACAATTTAATTGCATTTAAATTCTGCATCTTTCTCAGACATCTTTTGAAAAGGGAAAGTTCATTTTTGAGCGCAGAGATTGAGACGGAGCATTTTGCATAGCGACATTTATGGATATAATACTTTGTTACAATTATTAGAATATTGATTAAAAATTCCAAATTTTTTTTCTTTAATGGATAAACCGAATTGAATGTTTTGCCAGGAAATAAAATCTAAATTTATTGTTTTAGAAGACAGAAAGGTTCGAAGTTGATCCCATAAGTTTAATACTTCTTTACATTCATAAAAAAGATGTTTAGTTGTTTCCAATTGAGTTGTACAAAAGCCACAATTCTCAACATTAAACTTAAATCTCTCTCTTAAAAACTCATTTGAAGGATATATGTTATTTATTATTTTAAATTGTAATTCTTTATATTTAGGAGGAATTGGGAATTTCAAATAATTTTTCCTAATTTTGACTATCATAGATTTCTTAAAATTTTGTTAGAGAGCTGTGCTTTTTGTTCTTCCTGGGTACATATTATTTATAGAATATTGATTCAAAAACTTGTTGTTGCATTTATTATCTCTAATGTCCACCTGCTCAAATTCAATCTTATGGAGACAAACAATTGCAATTGCAAACAATTTATAGGTGCATTACCGCCACCTTCCAGAATGGAGCGACGCGAGCTCTTCTCGCGAGTCCTTCCGTATAACAATGACGTCGTATGTGATTGGAGGAGCCTGATGAGCCTTCGGCCCCATCGTCCAATCACGTGTGAGCTTTTGTGCACTACGACTTCTCGCGAGACCAGCATATTAGCAGACATGTTTGTGTTACTACACTTAGAAGAACTTCATCTCCATTTACCGTGTTTGTATTTTGTTGTTACGTGAACAATGGCTGCACGACGTCTCGCGTTCAACTCGCCTCCAACTGCTCTTAGTCCACAACTTTCGGCCAGCCCGCAGACTGACGAGAAGAAACTGCTGATTGCTATCAGCGGACTGTCTCGTCAGCTTGCCCAACATACTGCCGACAAGAATGAACGCCTCACTCAGCTGGAGAATTCGATGCGCTCCAGGTTGTAGTCCATAGAGGACAAGATGGCGGCTCTGCAGTCGAGCAACTTTGCAGGATATACGAACTCGAGGAAGAGAAGACGGGTGCACAACGCCACGCTAGCGGTAAATATATGTTCGATTACTGGTAGCTATGCTAAAAGCAGCCTAGCTTAGCTAGGCAAGCTAAAGACAACCTAGCCTAGCTAGGTAAGCTAAAAGCAGCCTAGCCTAAAGCTTTATTAAAGTGTATTTTTTGTGATTCACAGGAAACAATATGCCGTCTTAACAACTCGGAAACTAATTGCAGGCGCTATGAACCGGAGCAGGGGTAAGGTTTAAAGAATATGCGGTAAAAGGACATGGATACGGATTGATACCGACCATAGCTGTACTTTTTTTTTTTTTTCACAGACTACAGTCGCCTCACAATGAGGCGGTGACCTCCTATTTGCTCGGATTTGCACGATGTTGATAAAGACGACATTGTGTGTAAGTGACTTGTTTTAATGTTTTCTCCTTCCTTGTTACTGTGACTTGCGTTTGATTTTTTTTTTTATTCATACCACTCTCATTTAATTGTTTTCCAGCTGCCTGTAAGACGTATTATGAGACGGTATGCAGGAGCTTCAGATACACGCTGCTAGCCAGCACGCTGCGTGCGGAGGCCGCCAGGCTATCTGCTCAGAGTCGGGCCAGAAGAAAGAGGGTAAGACTTTATTTGGTGACTATTTTTCAGGTGCATTGATAGATGTATTGTGTCCATATGCAGTGCGCTGATTCATTGTTTTTTTTTCAGCTGCTGAAGGCGAGGCAGAGTGTGCTATCAGATGAGGAAGTGGAACTCTGTAAGTCCGCCACCGTCGACCTCATGTCCGACGAAGAAGATGGCGTCGTCGGCGGTGTCTCTGGATGGATTGTACGGTCGCCGCCATTTCGTAGGCCGGATCTCACTGAATTCTGTGTTAAGCTGCAGTCCCGGTTAGAAGCGATGCTGAAGTACAGGGCCACGCACAGTAGGCGTCTGCACATCGGACCTGCCTCGGAGGGAATGCTGCCTGTTACCTCCAACCCCGAGGAAGCAAACGGACCGTTCACGGAGTTGTAATTTTTAGATACGCATGTGTTTGGATACGCGTTGTATATAGTTGTGTGTGTTTTAATAAAGCTCTTTCTTTGCATAAACAGCTTCCTGGCAAATCTTCATTTCCTGTATAAATTCATTCATGTCCTTGATGGTAGCATAATAATTGTGTAGTAGTGTAGGATAACATAAATACAAATCATATGAATGAATAAATATATGAATGAATAAATATATGAATATATATATATATATATATATGAATGAATAAATATATATATGAATAAATATATATGTAAATATATATATATATGCCAACCAATCACGAGCGACTTTACTTGTTTAAAAGGAAGCGGTTCCGTCCAATACTCAGTAAGAAAATTAAAGCCTGGCGTGGCCACGTGTGGTTTTGCTGCCAATCACGAGCGATTTCACTTGTTTGAGAATAGTGGTTTCAGCCAATACTGAGAAGGTTATTCAAGCCAGACCTGGCCAGCCGCGCGGGTTTGCTGCATTCATATGCTAATTAGGGCCATTAGTACAGCTGATCGCTCTCCACATACGTCAGAGTCCGTTTCCGACAATTTGTGGCACGACAAACGCGGACAAGCACGGGTTGCAAATTGTCGGAAACTGACGAAAATCAGGCAGATCTGCGGGAGTTTACGGCAGTGGCGGCCGGCCCATAGGGGGCGCTGGGGCACCGCCCTCCCTGATAAGAAGAGAGAAACGTAAAATATATTTTTAGAAATTAACTCATAAATGTCAGTTTTACTCTCTAGACTGTGTACCTATAAGCAAAACAAATTATATAAACTACATTTCCCTATCTACTGTCATTCATTTGTGGATTTCCACAGACAGACTCCTACCGTCTCTGTTCTGGGGGCGCTGATCAGACTGACCCACATTTGCAGAGAATCTGTCAATCATGTACTATTGCTAGGTGAATTTAATGGCCAATCAGCGTCTCGGAACTTTATGGTCTTGGGGCGCTGAAAATACTGCACTTTAACAGGCTTCTGCACCCAAGCGCAGGTGCAGACAATTAGAGGGAAGATGGCGAATGTAACGACCGAGATGCAGCTTCCACCAAATTCTGTGAGATCCTTATTTATCTACCCGTTTGCCAGAAGAACATCCCTGTTGTAGGATATGAACATTTCATGTCATGGTTATTGTGACTGTGACGAATCCACCTCGTCGCTTAAAACAACCTCTCTAACTTTGCGCGCCACACACACATTCCTGTTATACTGTGTTTGTGAGGACCAATACACTCGCGCTGAGCCCAGTAGCTCCATGAACTTAAAACACACAAGCTGTTCCTGGTTACCTGCTGGCATATTGAGGGTGCACACTTAATATTTCAGTGGGGTTAGCCGTGTGTGTGTGTGTGGGGGTGGGGTGGGGGGGGGTGGGTGTGTACGTGTTTATGCTACGGGGACTTGTCATCTTCAGTCTGGCTGCGTCTTTGCTGGGTTCAAACCCAGTTTGGTGTAATTGAATAAGTCAATGAATCTGTGTAAAAGAATTAAGTTGTAAAAATTATTTGTTTTTGTACATTAATTGTTTGTGGAGGTAATATATGGACAAAACTGATTAATGAGAAGAAATCAGAAATAAGAGAGCCTGAGGCGAGGGGCTTAAACTATTTAATGAGGGCTGTGGGAAGAAAAGTGGCAATTTTTGTTTTCTGTTTCTTTGTTACATTGCTGGTAACTGGAGGGAGGCTGAGGCCCAGAGTATCTTGTATGTTTAGTTTCTTTTGCACCCTGTTTTGAGTTTTTGAGCTCAATAAATCACCAACACCGGTAACTGAGACTGGATTCTTGGAGGCCAAAGAACCCCGTCACAGTGACCCAAATCATCACTGTTACTGTTATTATATAGTAAATTAAATCATTACTGTTAAATTGTATGTATTGTCCAATTGTTTATTTGAATTCTTATTCCGGATTAGTTGGAGACATACACTAGGCTATATCAGCCCCACCAAAAATATTTTTCACCAGCCGCCACTGGTTTACGGGGGTTTACGGGGACGAAAATCTCACTTTTCATGCAGTGTTTCTGACTGGATCTTGTGTAACAATGTTGAAATTATTAGAATGCCACACATCGAACTCAGCCCTGTAGAGAGATGGCACTAGTCAGACATGTCTAGCTGTAGGTAAAGTCAGAAAGGAAGAAGAATTCCCATGTTTGCAAATGGGCAGTGCATGAGGTTTAGGTAAATTAGCTCATAAATGCTCTTAGCTGTGCTTCAACAGCAGGATGCTCTCATAATACTGGCTGAATTTTGAACATGTCTGATTGTCATCGGAGTGCAATATGCTGTTGAAGATTTTCAGTCATCCAGATCATAGTCATTCCAAAAAAGTAATAAAAAAAAAAAAAAAAAGAAAAAATCCACTGGACATTTTTTCAAAGTTTGAAGATGTTTCACTTGCCATCCAGGAAAGTTTTTCAATTCAAAATTTCAGAAATAGCATTAAGCTTGAGGCTTTATAGAGTGGACCAAAAACACTCTATGGCTTACACTCCACCGTGGCTGATATGACTGTACACACTGATTTAAATGATTTGGGATCCGCTCTCACACCACATGTACTGAAATGTTTTCAGAATGAGCCCTTTGTTAGATATGATCTAATTCTTAAAACTGTATTTTTTAAGCCTTTTTATAATTGCTCACTTATCAGTGCAGTTGACTCTGCTAAACTGTTATGGCCACTGTGAAGTTTTTTTGTGATAGCATACATCAAACCAATATTTATATATTTTTGTTATTCAGAAAATGTCATCTTTGGTCAAGATGCGGCAAAATGAGGGCACATTTTATACTAGTGGAGATTAATTGTGGTTACCATGGTGCACGGCACACTGCTGACACATCGGCTCTCTTCTGTCACTATGAGTCATCGGTTTTTAGACGTATAAGGAAAAAAAGACAACACACTCCGCTCCAGGTGCAGGATCCACTTGAATAAATTTAGCAAGCAAGGATTGATTTTCACACACTTAAAGTAACCATATGGAGTGTCTGTATCAATAATTCATTGATCAGCATGTGGGTTGAACAATGGATAAGGATCCTCGCTCATCTTTTATTCAGTGTTTGTTCAGCAGTGTTCCTGTCTCTTAACGGTGTGACAAAGAGAAACTTCAACATCCCTGATCTGCCATGAAAAGGTCCAATGAATGTTTTAATGCATGGACTGCAGGACATTTGTCTTTAATGTGAAGAACTCTGTTTCAGCATAATGCAGCTGAGCTCTATCAGTGCTTTGCAATACTACATAAAAACTTGATGTGAATTCCCTGTTCAGATTTTGCTTCTGGAGATTTCAGCTACAAGTGAACAGCTCTGAGATTGAGTCTTCGTACCTGGCGGTGATATAAGAAAAAAATGAAAGTTGTTGAATCACTCTTAACCAGCTCTTATGCAACATTACACTTCATGCAGTGGGCTGTGCTAAAACCATGGGCAACCGATCTACTGCATTATTGAGAAAAAAATCTTTTATGTCACAAACTTAAACTGTTCCTAACTAAAGGTTGAAGAAAAATTAAATTTGACACAGCTTTTCTTTTTATTTATTTTAAGGGGTGAGTTAGGTCTAACAAATTCTCTGTCTAAATATTGTGCCATTTAAAGTGTTTTAACTTAAATTAAAATTTGAAATTTTGAAAATAAAACCAACTGCTGTTTTAAGCAATGTATTTACACACAGGTTTTACATTTAAACATTAATGGAAGACATTATTATTACAAGAGAAGGACTGAAAGATGTTTGTTTACTCAGGCTGAAGTCATAAATTCTTGATTAAAGTTCTAATTTACAGGTAGTGTAGTTAAGCTAACTGTTAGAATAAAATGTGATGCACACCACTGTACCTGGAGCCATAGCTTTTCATCATTTCTTGAAGTGATACACCGTTTCATAAGTAACATGTCTTATGGGGAAACAGCAAAAGTCTTTTAGCTGCCCAGATTCGATGTTTCAATGCTCTCCTGACCCACTATAAAGCTTTGATGTGATATGTTTCTGACTAGCACCCGCTCTCAGAGATAAATTCATATTAAAACACCCACTGATATCCTGATAAACCTTCCTCCCTCTTGGCGTCATCTCCCAAAGGAGCTATAAAATGGTGAGAGTGAACTTGACCTCTGTGCTCGTATCTCAGAACTATGACGTCTTTGTGCAGCAAACATGTCTTTGTGTATGTGTTTGATGAAAAGGAGCAGTCCTGATGGGGTCCAGAATGAAAAAGTACACGCCTGAAAGCTTGTATCTTTTCCGGAATAAAGCTGCTATCCAAGGGTCATCTCACGAGGGGAGGCTGCCAGCAGCGCTTCAGTGATTTATTGAACTGTTTTTTTTAACAGTTTCCTGAGCAAAAACCTCTGCCATTTGTGTTTCATTTAGTTTTTTTTTTCATGGTTCTGTTTTACAGGGTTCAAGGCAACAGGTCCCCTCTAACTGTGTCATCAAGAGGGAGCAGGAGAAATGTATGGAGATGATGGCTCTGGAAGATTCTGACTCTGAATTTGGTAGGATTTTAATCCCCCCCCCCCCCCCCCTCCAAAAGCTAATCGCTCTTTAATAGTTATCAATAAGGCTCTAATTAAAATAAAATAACACCGAGATCAATTATTTAAACACCTGGAGGGTCATCATACTAATGAGCAATGAGCAGCAGATATGTCTGCTGGCTGTGGCTATTCTTGTTTTGCACACAGATCTTAAAATCCTCCACAGATCACCTTCTCTGTATGTCTGCTTCAGTGCATGAAAAAAAAGGAAATCTCTTTCAATCGCCATGTTTTTGTTTTGCAGAGATCTTGATGATTTTGAGGCGTTAATGTCTCATGGTGATAACTATGATGAAAATGAAAGCTGATTAGTGACTGACAGGCATCTCTCCATGTGTAATGATGATGGATGAAGGATATAAAATATTACACTCACAGGCTTTCTTTAATGCTTTCTAAATGACATGGTGAGACATAAGAGACAGAATTTAATCCCTTTTGCATATTATTGTTGGTTTGGACATTTAAGAAACGAGAAGAACAAAAGTTTAGTGTATTATGCCAAAAGCTCTATAGCTTGACCTGAAAACAGAATTACAGAATTGTTAAATGATGCATGTATTTTTTGGAGAATTCGGTGAAAAACACAACATTTTGGCTCTTGGGGCTGAAGTCCAGGATTTCTAAAGCCCATTTCACACCTTAAGGATTTAGCCAGCGTAAAACTGAAAAATCCGTCAAAAACGCTGGCATACATTGGCATACGGCAAGTACTTTGAGAAATGTTGAGCGTGTAAGTTACTCATAAGTCGTGGTGTGCAGCTTATCCAAACCCTAACTTATGCATAACTTATCAGGAACTTATCTCCAACACATATCAACATATCTGATCCAGTGTTCCAGACGACAGCTGAATGTGTTTCTATCTTACAGCTACTGTATAATGGCGTATTGGCAGCGTTTTGGTATAAAAGGGGGTTCACAGGAGGAAACCGTCGGTACTCCGCATTACTATATCCCCATCATAGGGTCCGTGTGATGGATCCACCTGGCATTCACGCCCACGTCCATGACCAGCAAACTTTCTAGCAGTCATGATTTTGAACCTGCTGTCACTGCAAACCTTTTTTTTTCTTTTTTTTTTTCTTTCTTCTTTTTTTTTGATGGACGGTAAACAGCTGCGAGGTTAATCTCCGGATCAAAGAAATCTTTCTATGCAGGTCAGACGCTTCTGGGCGCATCGCTGCCCCCCTCAGGACACTGGCTTGTGTATAATTTCATGGGCATACGCTGCTGTGCATTAAACATAAGTTAGGCTGTCGTTGGACATGAGTTCTTGACTCGTTATGAATACTATATATGGTCAAAATAGAAGGTTCACCGTATGCCAGCGTTTTAGGAGATTCTGGCTTAAATAACTAATGAAGAAAGACATTACATATATGAACGTACATTTAAATGCCTAAATAATTTACAGGTCAGAATTGATCCCATTAATGCTTTGATTAAAAAGAACAGTGCAAAAATAAAAATGCAGCATCTTCTATAGAGATTGGTGACATGCTGCGGAGGTAACAGAAAGGTTTTTGGAAGCTTGAAATACGTTGGACCCTAAAGAGTTCTGTAACAGTACCTTGGATAACCTGCTTTAAAATGTTGCAAAATTCTTTCCAAATAGGTCACTCAGAATTTAACACTCATTTGTACAATAAAAATATTTTAGGGGTGCTGCACTTTTTTTCTGGAAATCATGAGTTGGTAATACTGTTTCCTCCTTGCAAATTTCTCCTGAAATGTGTACGGAGTCTTTTTAAGTTTGCTGTTTTAAGGAATGTATTTACACACAGGTTTTACATTTTAACATTAATGGAAGACATTATTATTACCAGAGAAAGACTGAAAGAAGTTTGCTTCCTCAGGCTGAAATCATAAATTCAATCCACCAAATTTCTATTCAACTTATGAGTCCATACTACTGTAAAAGTTAAAATATGTGTATTCCTGTTCATTTATATATCAATGTGTGCCTACACTCATCTTTATTCATACAGTGACTACCAATAGCCTACACGACCAGAACCATTGTAAAATATGTATATACCCACTGTCAGTAACTAAGTACCTATTGATATTCACCACCCGTCCTCCATCTTATGTCTTTTTAAGAAAACCAGTTTGAATCTTTCTTCTTCCTGTTTGGATATTGCTTTAATTTGGCACTGAGTTTGTTCCATACTTTCACTCCATTTACTGAAAAGCACATTATTTTAATGTTTGTTTGAGCATATATGGTTTGGAAAGTTCTAATATCCCTATAAACAAACCTTCCTTTTCACAACAGATTGTGTATGCTGTCTGGTAGCCGTTAAATTCCAGCTTTACACAATAGTTGTGAAGTTTAAAACTATACCAGATCAGAGAATTTAGGCAAACAGGACTGAATGAATAATGAATGAATGTGGTGATGATAACCAGCCGTAGTAAGTTTACTGATGGCTACGTTCAAAATTTTCTCTCTAAAGCTTTTGGATATGTACGGTTTGAAACTGGGAATGCTTCCCTTAAAATACAGAATAACAATACTCTACCTATGTATTCCTGAAGTAAAAGCCATATGTGAAATTTTATCCAGCCAACATCCAGAAATCAAATGGCTCTATTGACTCATTAGCATCTTATTCAGCTTGGCAGAGGCTGCAAATGAACCATTTATGACATTTAGGTGTATTTGAGCAGGGGTTGATCTTAAAGTTGGAGGATTGTAGCTCTGGACTGAATGAAGTAAATAACAATGTAATTATTGATAAATAAGGAGAAATAGCTAAATAGAAAAAAATAATAATTCTTACATTTTCCATAAAAACTTTAATTGTTTTCCATAGAACATAAATTTGAATACATTATATTTCTAATTTTTCCACATAAAATTAGAATCAGACATACTTTAATAATCCCAGAGGGGTTATTAAACATTTACAACATTTACAACAAACCACACAAAATAACGTAAATATAAATATATACACATATAACTCTATATATATATATATATATATATATATATATATATATATATATATATATATATATATATATATATATATATATATATATATGTATATATATATGTATATATATGTGTATATATAGGCATATTGAAGTCCAAATGTAATATTCATTGCAATCAGCTTTTATAAAAACAAACAAAAAACACATTTAAAGTAAAAATGACAAGACAGTATTTTCTTTTATTTAATTAAAAACCTTTGTCTGATTTTAAAATGTCTTGATTGCAACTTATTACAGATGCACGCAACTCTGCACTGATCTTTCAAAGGAGGATTTGTAGAGTAGTTGTGGATGTGGTTTGGCCTTTTAAAAGTGAACAAGGTGTTTTTTGCTCCTGCTTCCCCCCCCAGACTGCCTCTGGTTCTGGGATAACCTGACATGTTGGCAGCCAGCCAAGATCGGGGAGGTGATCCAGGTCAATTGTCCAGAATTGTTCTCTCAATTCATCAGCGAGGAAGACTTCGGTCAGTGCCTTTTAACTCCTCATATGCATCCATCTTGACCTAACAAGTCTTTCCACACACTTCTATTCATCCAGTTTAATGTACAGTTTGTCAGATCCAACCAGTAAAGAAAAGGTATAGCTGATGGCCTGCACCATTTATTGAGCAAAAGCACAGAATTTTGTGCTGGTGAAGATTCTCAGTCATCCAGGTCATAGTCATTCCAAAAACTTGTTTTCAAGTTTGAAGATGTTTCGCTTCCCATCCAGGAAGCTTTTTCTATTCAAAATTTCAAGAATCATGTAGAGTTCAAGGTTTTATACAGTAGCCATTGTTTTTAAAACATACAAATTGAAAAAGACGAATTTGAATTGAAAAAACTTCCTGGATGGGAAGGAAAATGTCTTCAAACTTGAAAACAAAGTTCTTTGGATTGTTTTCAATTTTCTTTTTTTGGAATCACAGAATTTTGTCTGTTTTTTTCTGAGTTCAGATGAGAAATAACTTTCAATGGTATAAACTGTTTTTTTTATTTCCTGGCTGACAGAATTGGGGAAAGTGAGTCGCAACTGCACTGAGTTTGGCTGGTCAGAGACCTTCCCTCATTATATTGATGCTTGCCTGTATGAGGAAGGAAATGGTACACACCCTGTGAGTTTACCACCTGCTTTCAGGTTCAGAGCTTCATATCACAGCCTCTGTCCTCAGTCCTTATTGTGGTCATGTTTCTGTTTCAGGACATGTATTATGTGTCAGTGAAGGCTCTCTACACAGTTGGCTACAGCACCTCTCTAGTGTCCCTCACCACAGCCATGGTCATCCTGTGCAGGTTCAGGTGAGACTTTCAGAGGGACGTAAAACAAAATCTGCAGTTGATGGGTTTTAGATCTGTTACAGATTAGAATACAAAACAAAATTTGAACTGTTTAGTAGGTGAAGTTTTAAGATTTAAATATGTCAGAAAACAGGACTGGTGTCTTTTGAATTATTCAGCTAAATTGTAAAACAGAAAAGGGCTTCCTAATCCAAATCTCAAAACACTTAATCCCAGTTGCAAATATTTAGGAAAATATAGTTGCTTAGCCTTATAACTTTCTACGTAGTATACATATTGACTGTTCTAACAACTCTACTTGGAATACAATTTCATACATTGAAAAAAAAATAATGCAATCTGTCATGGTTTTAACTATGATCAGACCCAAGAGCAGTAAACCAATACAGAGAGACCAGGGGAAAGGTTTAACAGGTTTATTTAGGAGATTGTGAAGAATCCAGAGTTGCTCTGAACACTGCTCAACCGGAACTGAAAGATGAGGGGAAGACACTGCCGTTAGTTCAGGCTCAGTGGGAAATTTGATTCTCGAACTTGAAGAGAAGAATTTGGTAGCTGACTCACGTTTCCAGAGAAGTTGTTGACTCTTAGACTCCAGTCTGTGTGCGGTAGTTCCAGTGTTAGTCTGATTCGGTGGAGGGCGGACAGGGTTTTTCCCAGAATGCGGTTGTTTGAAGGAGAACGGAGAAACTGACTGTCACTCAGATTTCCTGCGGTACTTGAACGGGTCGTAGTGGAGATGAGTCCCTTGCTCAGTGTGAAGCTCAAACGATCTCTTGAGGGAAAGTGGATTCAAACCTCCAGTTTAAATCCTCAGCTCAGTTTGAAGCTTAGATGATCCTTCCAGGAAGAGAAGGTCCGAAACATCCAGTTTGCAGGATGACCTCCTGCTGAGAGGCAAAGACAAAAACAAGATTAAAACTCAGGTTGAAAAGAACTCAGTTTGACTCAGCAAAACTCAGCTTGGCTAGAGTACCCAAAACTGGCAAACACTCTGGCGTCGAGGTAGTGGCAGTCAGCAACTTAAGAGCACTCTGTTAACGAGGTAACTCTCAGCAGGTGTGTAGGGAGGCGGACCAGAACCAGGCGTCTCCTGGTGAAGGAAGGGAGACACACAGAGAGAAACACAGAAAAACACACACACGGACAGGAATCCTGACACAACCGATTTTGGCATTTACTTAATCATATTTTGTTATTTTAACATAATTGCTTTATGTCCTAACCTGCTAACATGAAACAATTGTGTTAAAGTAACCAAATATGATGAAGTGAATGCCAAACGTGGTAGCATTATTTTTTGCAGTAGCGGATGAAAGAGAGGTGATTAGAATGAAGCCTTTCAGATTTTTCTTTTTATTATATAATGAAAGTAATGTATCACTTTTTTTAATTTAAAATGCTGCACCACTTTCGAGCCATGGTCTCAAATACTGTAGTAAAATTGATCCAAGTTGCCACAGAAACCTGAGAAAAGTTAGAAAATCATTTGCAAGGCAGCGAAATTCAAAAAATGCAGAAACAGAATATGACCTCCCAAAACTAAGATTATGTTGTAAACCAGGTTTCCATATAGATGCTTCTTTAAAACTTTTGGTAAGGTTCCTCAGTAGAGAAGATATAAATGTTATGAACATCTTCAGCATGCAAGTCTCTTCTTTGGTTTTTACACAGGAAGCTACATTGCACAAGGAACTTCATCCACATGAACCTTTTTGTGTCGTTCATGCTGAGAGCCATTTCTGTCTTCATCAAAGACAGCGTGCTTTACGCAGAGGAGGACAGCGACCACTGCTTCATACACACTGTAGGTCACAGAAAGCACATGCCAGTCTTTTCTTCCTCTCATTGATGCTTAACTCCTTGCCTTTTATAATGTCTTAAGCTGGAGTGTCGAGCTGTGATGATATTCTTCCACTACTGCGTCCTCACCAACTACTTCTGGCTCTTCATCGAGGGTCTGTACCTTTTCACTTTACTGGTAGAGACCTTCTTCCCTGAGAAGAGATACTTCTACTGGTACATCGTCATTGGCTGGGGTGAGATGATCAAACGTGGCCTGAATGAGCGTGTAAAGCTCTCTCTGCAGTGATTACATCATTGTGTCTCTGTTTCAACAGGAATGCCAACAGTGTGTGTTACCATCTGGGCGGTCCTAAGGCTGCAGTATGAAGACATAGGGTTGGTTTATTATCAATGAAGATAAGAAAAATCATCTACTGAGGTTTTTCTATGCATGTTTTGAATACTTACTGTTTTGTCAGGTGTTGGGACATGAATGACAATGCTGCCATCTGGTGGGTCATAAAGGGACCTGTTCTGGCTTCAATAATGGTAAGAAATGGTCTTCAAAACACCAAACATACTCATTGTCATGACAAAGTATTCATATTCTTACACTGTCTCCACTTAAAAAATGCTTGAATTGTACCAGAAAATTTGTTTTATTGAAATGTGTTGATTGCTGACTCTGGGCAACCAGTGGCTCGTAGCAACCTGTTCCTGTTGGCTGTAATATCATGATAGTAACAACTCGGCCATCTCCTGAATAAAAAGCTGCACTAAATGGCTTTGGGTCATTTCTAAACAAATGTTTAACTTCAAAATGAAACCAAATTTTACTCTGTCATCTTATTTTCTAATAGTCAAGCTAGTGCCATGATATTAACTTTTCTGGGGCTTTAAAATAAAAGCCACACATGTTTAATGCATTTACAACCTTGGTAATAGCAGCTATTTAAAGTCGAGCATGTAAGCATTTAAACTTTATTTGTAAATTAGGCAAAACATCAGTTATTTAAATGTGTTTTAAGTGGAAGAGATGGCATGCATCATTTGAGAGTCTGGTTTTCAGCCATTTTAGATCTGAAATTGGAAAAAATAACTTCAAACTTTTTCTGGTTTCAGAAACAAAGCCACAGTAGCTCTAGTCATGCTACAGGATAATTAGGTTTCTGTGTTTATTGCAGATCAACTTTGTGCTTTTCATTGGTATCATCGTCATCCTCGTCCAGAAGCTGCAGTCCCCAGACATTGGTGGGAATGAGTCCAGTATTTACCTGTGAGTTTTTCATATTTCCCTTTCTGTCTGACATTTGCTGTTCTACGCGTGAAGCTCGTAATTTTAATGTTAGTTCTTTAAGTATGCTTGCATTCACTTTTTGAAGCAACTATAAAAAAAGGACTAATAAATTGCCCAAACACACCCGCACACACAAATATTGATATGCTGTATTGCAGGAGATTGGCGCGTTCCACCCTGCTGCTGATCCCCCTTTTTGGGATCCACTACACTGTGTTCGCCTTCTTCTCGGAGAACGTCAGCAAGAGAGAACGTCTTGTATTTGAACTTGGCCTGGGATCTTTTCAGGTGAAACCTCCCACCCCCTAAATAACCTCCTGTTTAAATGTATTTAGTCAGTTTTTACATTAACTAAGCCTTGACTTGAATCTTTGTACTGAATTTGATAATATGCACATAATGTATTAAAACATAAAAATGTTTTACTTTTTCTTACCCGATTTTATACTTTCTTTTTCGTTTTGGCAAAGTTTTAATTTTTCGGAGGTATCATCATATAATTGTATTTACTCTAATGACTGCTAAAGATGTTATTTCTCTGTTGCTATGATTTTTCTTTGTTGGCTTTAATGCTGTTTAAATTCTTTATGCACAAAAGCAAGGGATGAGCCTAATAAATTAGAATTAAACTCCTAAACATATTTTCCTTTGAAACTAAGATATACACTAAGATAAAAGTAATATACAATCAGAATTAGCTTATTGATCAAGTCTTTTCACACAATAATGAGATTTGACTCGTGGACTTTGCTCTTAGCTCTATAAAAATCCTCAAATGCTGAATATTTGTGCTCTGATTTAATATAGATAATTATCTGAATTTAATGTATTTTTAGATCTTTTTGGACATGTCTTTACATTCCCTTTTCAGAATTATATCTCCCATTGTTAATATGCCTGAGTTTGACTTTTATGACAGTAGCTTAATGTCACACCTAAAAAAAAAACTAGTGCACACTTGATTCTATCTTTAACTACTATTATACATAATAATGAATTAAGCATTTAACTTATTTACATTTTGGACCAATACTTCATGTAACCTTGGGCAAGATATTACACAGAAGGCCAGGTCTCTAAGCCTCTTTTAAAAATTGATAAAGAAAATGCTGGAAAAATAGCTAGTAGACTAAACTTGCTTATATTATAGGGAATTAAGAAATCTAGAAAGTTTACACAACTGTAGCTGAGAAGAAAACTATTTTACACATGCAATTTGCAGCTGTTTTTATGAGAAATGGTTGGAAAAAATATTTTATCCCCTTTCATTGTGAACCTAAACATTCAGAGCTTGCAAAATACTGATGTGACTTAAAGTTGAGCTGTACATCAGCCGAGATTTAGATTGAGGTTTTCTGCAACTTACTAATATGCTGTCAGTCTGTTTATCTTTAAAGGAACCTTGTTGGAGTGCATGGCGTCATCACAGGAACATCTCTTAACATAAATATGTTGAACTTCCAAGGAGGTGACACTAGAGTTATAACTGGTTATTTAGCAGGATAAGGATCCCAAGACATATGACAACAACAACACATTCATGAAATTCTGTTCCTAGCCTAAATCTCACAGAAAGAATTTTAGGATTAGTTAAAGAATTCAATACCTGGTGACTCTTAAGAGACCTAAAAATAGTATTGTATTGTATTTTTCTGAAGAAGAATGACTGATTTAAAAGCTTTGAGTGCTCATGAACTGCTCTGAATGCTCCAACGGTCAATGGTCTCTTGTGTTTCTGCAGGGTTTTGTGGTGGCTGTCCTCTACTGCTTTCTGAATGGAGAGGTAAGTCTCAACTTAAACATTCTGATATCTGGTTTAATGAAAATGTAAAAAAAGAAAGCATTATCTAATAAAAAAAAAAAAACACAAAGCTAAAAATGGCAAGTTTCTTTTTTTTTTTTACTTTGGGATTTCAATCTTTGAGTTTTCTATAATTAATCCCAAAACAATATGTCTTAGTGAGTAACTTTTAGGATGTTCTGAACATTATCATAATTGTAAAGAGCTATTGCAGGCTAACATATGTGCATGGAAATCTGTTTGTTTAGAAACTGAATTAACAATCAGGAAGAATATCCCCATCATACTAAAGCATAACATATTACTTACAGTTAGATAGCAGTAGGTATTTAAAGATGCAAAAAGGCTAAGTAAATTGACTACAATTAAAGTAAGCAAAATTTGACTATAAGCAGTATTACTTACAGTAATAGGGAGATCATTTTGGTAATAATTTTGCTTGTTTTTATATTGTTTCCTGTTTTTACTTTCAATCATTTTTAGAGGTGCAATTTAGACTATCTAGTGTTAGAATTAAGTTGAGAAAATTAATTATTAAATTATTATTACATTAATATGAATTAAGTTGGCATTCAGATGATTTTTGGACCTTTTTAGCCAAGATTATTCCCAGTCTGTTGTAGAAAATGAGAGGCAATGAACTCATCTCTTTCCAGCGCGGTCCATTAATAATGACCTTGTGAAGTATATCCCTCAAGGTGCAATCGGAGATCAAGAGGAAATGGCGCAGCTGGACGGTGAACAGGTACTTTGCTGTGGACCTGAAGCACCGGCATCCTTCGCTGGCGAGCAGTGGGGTGAACGGGGGGACGCAGCTGTCCATACTCAGCAAGAGCAGCTCACAGATCCGGATGTCCAGCCTGCAGGCAGAGACCCCAGCCACCTGAGTGGCCCCTGTGGGGATGCCTCGACTAAACCTGCCAATACCAACCCCAACCCACCCACCCTCGTCGAGATGACGAACCTCACCGAGCCATTCTTCAACACGGAACCTGATGAATCCACCATGGAAACCCAACTGAACTCCAGCGACCCCAAACAGCCTCTTGTGTAAACGTGAATGTGCCAAATAAGGACTTACTGATCTAGGAGCAGCTAATCCTGTTGTAGGCTGGACTATGCTGTTTCATGGCCGAAACATTAAGAAGTAGCCGCTTCTGTCTCTATATAATGTGTTAGTTTTCAAAGTTGTGTGGTGCTGCTGAACAACATGAAGGGATAAACCCATTAGTTCGACGTGTCCAATGACTTTTACATTCTGTCAAAATGTTTCTTAGCATTCCTATTTAGGTCTTAGCTGCAAAAAGACACTAATCACTCAGTTGTAAATATATAAGGAGAGTTGGAGATTGCTTTTCTTTACACATTGGGATATATTTATCTTGCAAAAAAAACGATAGAATTGTATGACAGTTTCAGTGGCTTGCAGAGGCTGTTTTACTTACTGTCAGCATATCTTGTACATTTTTAACCCAAATGTTGTGTTGCAAATATGGTTGCAACTTTAGTGAAGAGAAAAAAACCTTATTGTGTCTATGTTGCATAAAGGGAAATGTAATTTATGTTTGAAGACCATGTTTAGGCTGTGGTTGATGTTCAGGTTTAATCTGCCTGTGTTGCACAGATTTCATAGCATAGGTTTCTATAGCTACACAAAGGGCAAGACTAAATTCATAAAGTACTCCTTTGCAGGACAAAGAACCACAAGGAAGACATTATTTGGAAGACCGAAGCCTCTCACCTCTGTTAATGAATGAGGGGCTGTCTGTTGGGTTCTGCGACAACATATTTGTGCAGACTTCTGCTGCCCAAATGATATAAACTGACTGCATTAGTATTATTCTTTACTGATTAAGCTGTGACTGTTATGTAAGAAACATGAGTGTTGAAATCCTAGCAGACAAAGGAATGCTAGGAACAGAACTAACCAGTGTTATTTTGTAAAAGAAAAATGTTTTCTATTGTTGTGTGACAAGCCAAAACAGACACAGGGTTTAGATCCTGGTTTAAAGATGTTTGTGCCACACTGAGGTTTGTCTTATACGACCACAAGCACCTCTTTTCCAAACCTCAGCGCTTCTCAGCCGCTAGTACAGAAAATGTCAATAGAAACATTGTGACTTAACCTATTTGCATGAACTTTAATTAACTGCTGCCACGCAGTTTCTTTGTGAGAGTTCAGTGCTTTACCTGGATGCTAGTTTTTGTGTGTGTGTTGAATGCGCTGCTGTAAAGACAGAGCTTTGTAATATATATTACTGTCACTTGTGAAGTCTCTAGCAGAGATATTGTACAGGTCTTAGATGAAAGGTCTTGACCCTCTGAAACCTCAATCAGTTTGTAGTTTACGTATCTCGAGGTATTCTTTGTCTAGATGCTTGAAAAAGCACGTGTAAGTTTATATAGTCATGGTTCAAAAAAACACATTCTGTTTTAAATCTTTATATCTGTCTTTAATCATAAACACAACTGATTCCACATGGTTAGTAGTGGGAAAGAAGAAGTAAAACAGATTTGATGTGTTAACAACTAAGTATAGCTGCTTCTGAGACAAATTTGTCAATTTCTGTCCATATGAATTATTCCTTCACATACTTAAGGAGTTATTACGTGAAAGACTTAACAGCTTCATTGAATAACATTACCTGACACTTGGCACAAGCAGGAGACCCTCAGCTGCAAAATTTCAGAAGAGCCAGACAGTGACGAGTTGGCTGCTCACAACAACAAACTAAAAGCAGGAGCTGACTGGCGTGATGAAGGAGACTAGAATCATATCTGTTGAAATAGGTGTGGATCAAAACTAGGCAGTCAGCAACAGGGAGACGAGGAATGCTGGACATCCAGTAACCCATGGCTTTCAATAATCTGGCACTGTCTGTCTGCTGGAATCCATAATATAAATGCAGTGGAAGTAGTGAAAGGGATACATTTTCTTGCTCTTGACAAGGTGTTTCACATTGGCATTGAATAATAGTAATTACTTCAGAGCAGAAGCAGTGTGAGAGCATGCAGACAGACTCAGGTTCTGCATAGTCTTTCAGTACAATTGATATCTAGACTTTGACTAGGCCATAAAACATATTTAATCTTTGCTTTTTCTGCCATTATTTTGTAGTTTCTGTGCTTGCTCAGTTGTCCTGTGCTTGCAAAAAACAAAAAAACGAACCATTAAATCTCCACCACTTTGCATGAAAGTTTAAATGAACCTTTGCAAAACTAAATTGTGTCTCCCATTCCTTTAAAGAGAGAGAATGCATTAACCCTCCCCCAACCATTTAGAAGTCATTCAACTTCAAGCTTTACACTTTGGGCATATGAGGATTTTCAGATAGATGAAATACATCTATTGCCATTCTTAGGTAAATGCTGATGTCTTTCTGCCTTGTCATTATGTTATTTTCCCCTTCAAACTCTACACCAGCAATTTGCTGTTTTAATTTCATAAATTAATAATTTTATCACATAACAAGCAAGACCTGCCCACCACTCTCTACCTTATATCATTTTGAATTTAAAAGGGTGTAGTTTTTTTTATCCTTGTTTGACAAATAAATATAATAAATCTCTTGTGTTTTGGAATTCTGTTAGATCATCATTTTGACAACATGGTATCATCATTTGTATTATCAGATACATAAAGCCTTCCAAAATAGGAGCAGGTGGACTATCATTTTTTTTTTGTTTACCATGATTGTTAAATGATGATTTTATGTACTGGAGTAATCCTCTCATTCAAAAAGTGAGTTGTTTGATTCCTCTTTGAGTTTCTGTTTTACAGAAACACTGCAGCCTTGTATTTTTGTCCTCAGAATCTAAACACTCGGCTTTCCTTTGTGTCTCCAGAAGTGCCTTCAAGCACAAACCCCTGATTTTTACTTCTGTTGATAATTTACCAGTTTCTTTTTTTCTTTTAAAACAGAGCTGCAAAGTGATACAAGGGTTTAATGCACATTTTTGTTGCTTGAAGCAAAACCCAAGTAATTTAAACATGGAGGCCTTCAGAGTACTTTAAACATCTTTAAGAATGAGTCTAAAGTATGACAATTTAATTGTGTTAAATAAAATCAGCACTTTGTCCTAAGATTGCAGAAAGGCAGAGTATTCCCTCCATTATATGTATATATTTCAGTGAATTTTTCCACTTTCCATGAGCTGCAATGGACTCTGTTTAATAATATAATCTTAGTGAGGTTTTCGTTGTTAGTAATTTGTATTTACACCAGATAATGACCGTTTAGAATGGTATTGTTTTGAGTGTTGACTATACATACTTTGTTTAATTTTCCGGCTAAATGGCACTTTCCCTCAGAGCCTAAAGAGTGACAAAATTAATCAAGACCAATGTTTTAAAACTTCATAGTATTCTTAAACCATTACTCCTTACATATGAGTAATTGCCTCATTCAACTTTGAGCACCTGCCAGGTTAAATCTTGCATAAACCCCATTCATGTAAGGAGGGAAGGGCTGATCAGAAACTGTGCCGTCCTGCTGTGCTGTGTGTTTACTCTAAGCTGCGGTAATAGCAGCTCAGATCCAGCTGCAGCTATAAGCTACAAGGGGGCCCAGTTCAGTCTGGGGAAAGGGCTGGACAATCACACATCACCTCTGTTCTGGTTCAGCTAAACAAACATTCATCACAAACAATAAAGACAATCCCTAATGCTTTATTTCCTTCAGCTGTCAAATAAAGGAGCTGGAGCCTTACATCGCCAGTACTATGTTGATGTTAGACAAAGGAGTTGCCATTATTACTGTACACCGTATCTGTTTATGAACTTGTTCTGAAATATGAAGTTGTTCGGTGAAGTCTCCTGTAGCTGAAAGCTGTGACTTAAATTGCAGTTTAAATGTGCAAAACAGAAACAAGCTGCAAATGTTGTACTTTGTAAATGTAAAAGAGGTTTTCTGTGAATAGCTGCTATCTAAATACTTAATGCTGAGTGCTCACGTGATTTTAAAATTATTTCTTAAAATGTGATCTTGTTATTTAACAAAAAAGCTGCCATTCCCCTTTGCTAAGAAAGGCTGATGTATTTTTTTTGTAAGATAAAGGTTCCTTTTTTTTCAGAGAGGAATCTGAGATGTGTTGAAGCAGCTATAATAATTGCATGAGGCCGTAAAAAAGATAACAGGAGTGCTTTGCAGGGTTGCGGTTTCTGTTCAGTTACAGTTACAGTACCGTGGATCTTCACTCTCACTTTTTACGATGCTTTTCCTTTGAATCTTAACAGACATACGGGAAAGTACAGTGCCATAAAAGCTGCAAGACTCTTTGTTTTTACTGTGAAGCATGGCCATATTTTTTCTTAGTTGTTTTGATTGTTTTTTATTGATATGCTTAACACTATTAATTTAATCACTTTAAATAACTGAATTTGGTTTAGCATTTTGATTCTAGGTGGCTGAATGTATACTATGAGCATCTTCGTATTGCTCTTCAATTTTCACTGTATCATCTTTTTTTGTGAATATCAAGTGTTTTTTCTATATTATAAAAAATATATATGAATAAATGTTTAACTTGTTGGCTCACTTTGGTGGCACTCATTTATTTTCTAATGTGTTGATTTATTTATTGTTTACAAATGTCTCATATAAACGACCACATTACAATCCCTACCAAACCTAAAATGATATTATTTTACATTTCATTCCTTTGTAACCGTAAAGCTATAACTGATTCAGATTTTGTACCTTAGAAGGCAGAGCAGCATAAATAACTAAAGTTACAAGTCTTGTCCTTAATCTTAATTGAATTTAGGGTTGTGATTTCTCTAACGTAAATATGCTTTGATTCAAACCATTACTGTGTAGCTTTGGCTGCATGTTTAGTCATTTTGCCTGTGAAAATAAGCCTCAATCTCCAGTCTTCTGAATCTTCTTGCAGGTTTTGTCTGGTCTGTGCAGATAAAAATGACCACAGCATGATGCTACAGCCATAACGTTTAACATACCTACGACTATGACCAATTTGCTTCTTTCTAGGGGTAATTTCTGCAGGCCTCTTATCTGCTGTTGTAATTGGTCAGCGGTCCACTGTAAAGCTGGTCATGCTTTGGTAGGTTTTTAAATGCTTAATAATGGATAGAGCTCTGGGAAATATCTAAAGCTTGTGTCAGGAGGAATATTGTTTATAATTCATAAAAAGAGTTGCTTAATACTATTTACACTAACTACAGTATAGATTGTTTTTCCTTCCCACTGTATAATATATAAATTGTATTTTTTTTATTTCATCGCAAGGTTAGGATAAAAGAATGGGAAAACACGGGAGAGTCTATACAGATATAATAGCTTATATAGATATTAGTAATAATACAGTTACTCCTCTAAAAGGCCAGCATTTATAAAAGATGACATATGTGATGTAGGCCACTTATAACGCAGGGATTGGACATCACATAATGTCATACCCTATCAGACAGACACCAACTTCATGTGACACATGGTTTATTGATATCACTGAGGTCAGAAGAAACCACCAGAACTGTTTTTCAGGGTTCATCTCCTTTAGATGCCACAGATGCCAACATGAACCAGGTGTTCCAAAAATTCTGTACTATTACGCTGCTAAACTTAAGTTCATACCATGCTGTGGCAGCTCCTAAGCTGTGGAATGATCTGCCTCTGAGCATAAGACAGGCCTCTTCTCTTGCTGTTTTTAAGTCCCTTCTTAAGACTTATCTTTTTTCCTTGGCTTTTGGCACAATTTGAGAGGTTTTATTTTGTTTTATTCTTTTTGTATACTAATATGTATTTTACTATGTTTCTAACATGTTCTAACAAGTTCACAGAGTATTTTTTCCAATACTCTACAATTATCTACATTTTATAAATAAAGTGAAGAAGTATTTCAGCATGTTAATATTAATACATATATGATCCTTTTATCACCATACAGTAACAGAAGAGTACACACACTTGTCATGGCAGTATTACAAGAACAAAAATGACACAAAATCACAATATTCTTATCCTTATCTTATCTAAAATTCCAAAAGAACACGGAGGCAGATTTGTTCAGCATGAAAATATGTATCAGATAAATAAATGACTGATTTACCTGCACTGATGATAAACTAAGATAAACTGTGGAAAAGGTACAGTTGTGGTCTGTAATAGAGGCATATATCCTTCTAAAAGACAAACTGAGAGGGTTTCAAATATATATGTATATATTAATATATATACATATATATATAAATTGACTCAATTACCGACCATTAGTCTATGTGTAATAAATAGTTATATGGAGGGATATAGACATACATGTGTTTGTGTAGAGTATGAATATACACACAATGTGCATCTATGGTCTATACAAGTTTGCAAAATATATATAGTGTCAAAACACGCAACATTTTACACTGATACAAATTAATAACATAGAACGATCCTATCCAGTGACTCATATTGTGAATGGCAACCTAACTTTACTTCAAATTTTCACACAACAGCAACATGTAACATGTTACAAAAAAAGCACTGTATGGCTGAACATCAACAATACCCCCAACCAATATATATATATATATATATATTTATATTCGTAAAGACAAACAGGGTTTACAGTCTTGTGCTCCAGATGTGTGCCAATGCACTGTGCAATGTGTTGCAGACATAGCCATGGATTGAATCATGGATTTTTATCCCCTCAATAGACAGGTGCTGTAACACGGTAATAACAAAAGTTAAAGAAAAAAGTGAGCCTGGATCTTTAAGACTACAGGTGGCAAAGAGGTATTTTTTACATAAAAAGTGGGGCAACTGTAAAAAAAAAAAAAAGGCTAGCCTAAAGAAGGTCATCTGGGCCATAATTAAAAGTGATTCCCATGCTGTAGTGGGAAGTACAAAGCTAATAAGTGGAGTAAGACGGGTATCACAAAATATCCTATTATATTCTATAAATAACCCATAATGGCTGATGGTGAACCTTTTTCAAGCTGTTCTATTCAGAACTGTGTCATTTTCCATAACACTTTCCAAATCCAGGCACTCATTGTTAACATGAATGTTCCCCTACTGTTTAAAGGGTGCAAAGTCAGGTTTTGAGGGTTTCATATAGTGTGGCAATAAGGTAATCATCTTGGAAACGGGCTATCTAAGTACATTGCTATTGTCACAATAATTTACCGACTCAGGTAATCGTGA